GTGGCTCAAGTGGTAGAGTGCTAGCCTTGAGCTGAAGAGCTGAGGGACAGCGCCCAGGCCCAGAGTTCAGGCCCCACGACCAGAACCAAAAAAAGTAAAAAAAAAAAAAAGAACCACCAGCGCTGGCACAGTCCCTGTGCATAGCCAGGTGGGGAGAAGGGCTGTCCTGAGAAGAGTTCGAGGGCGCTTTGCTGGGGGCAGCCCCCAGTTCTGCATGTCCCTGCCTCACTAACCTTGTGGAGGAGGAGTTGTACTTGGTCCCGCTGAGGCTGCCCGCACATGAGCACACATTCTTGTGGCGCACAATCCTATGCCCTCTGCCAGGCTTGAAGATGTTCATCCACTCAGCATCAGACATGTGGCCCGGAGCCTCAATGACCAAGTGACTCGGGTGGCAGCACTTGGACACACACAGGTTGCTCTCACCCAGACATCCGTCGTCCTTCGGTGCACAGGAGACATCAGACCTATCTGCTGGGTCGTGACAGTCCACGTCTAGCCTCTCCGGCTCTCGAGAGTCGGAACAGCTGGTCAGGCCCAGGTAAACGTTGACGTCCTGCCACTGCTTTTCTTCAGGCAGCGACCCTTCCGAGAGCTGCTTCTCTTCGTTCAGAACCCCGAATTCATGGTCTCGTAGGCATCGTGCATGCATTTTGCACAATGCGATTTTGTTTTCGGGTTCAATCTGGATTTTTCCACCCAAAGACCAACACTTCTGCTTGCCCATTAGGTCTTTGGTAAGCAAAGACGAGAGTGTAATTACCTTTTTTTCTCCGAGTGCACTATTTATCTGTAACTTTTTCTCCTTACACATGTCACAAGAGTTTTTGTTTGCCTTTTGAGCCAACAAGGCCTCAAATTTTTGATCCTTAACCAGTGACTTCTGATTTTTCTCCCTCTTAATATCGATTTTTGAATAGTTATTTTCAAGGTCAGATAAAGACATGTCTCTGCTGCAGTGTCATTACAAAGAAAAGCAAGTTGTGAGATTAGACATCATGCTACCAGCTCCTATGACTCCCCAAACAGCATGAGCACAATGAGTCTGAGCTCCTGAGCCCGATTTTGTCTCAGAAACCTGATCAGCAAGCCCCCACTCACCTTTCCCACCCTCAACTCCTCTAGTACTCACTGTATGAATGAGAAAAGCATCAAAATACTATGTAAATACAGCAAACTTTGCCTGTGTGTACCAAAAGTGGGGCCTGCACTTAGGGCCTTGAGCTCTTGCTTGGCTTTTTTGCTCAAGGCCAGACCTTTACCACTTGAACTATACCTCAACTTTTAGCTTTTTGGTGGTTAACTGGAGATAAGAATTCCACAGCTGGAGCTGGGCACAGGTAGCCCATGCCTGTAATCATAGCTACTCAGGAGGCTGAGATCTGAGGACTGCAGTTCAAAGCCAGCTGGGGTAGGAAAGTCCATGTGAGACTTATCTCCAATTAAACCACCAGAAAATCAGAAGTGGTGCTGTGGCTCAAGTGGTACAGCATGAGCCTTGAACCTTGAGCTGATAGTGCCCAGGCTCAGAGGTCAAGCCCCACCACACACACACACACACACACACACACACACACAATCACACACACACACACACACACACACAATCACACACACACACACACACACACACACACACACAATCCCATAGATGAGTGCTAGTGGCTGACGCCTGTAATCCTAGCTTCTCAGGAGGCTGAGATCTGAGGATCAGTTTGAAGCCAGTCTGGGCAGGAAAATACAATAACTACTCAGAAAAAGCCAGAAGTGGTGTTATAGCTCAAGTGGTACAGTACTATCCTTGAGCACAAAGAGGCTCAGGGATAGTGCTCAGGCCTTGAGTTCAAGCCCCGGGACTGGCAAAAAGAAAAATCCCATAGACTTTTCTGACCAGGCTGGCTTCAAACCATGGTCTTCAAATCTCAGCCCCTTGTGCAAACCAGCGAAACTTTTTTTTTTTTTTTCCCCAGTCATGGGGCTTGAACTCTGGGCCTAGGTGCTGTCCCTGAGCTCTTCAGCTGAAGGTAAGCACTCTACCACTTGAGCCATGGGGCCACTTCTGGCTTTTCTGTTGGTTAATTGAAGATAAGAGTCTCACAGACTTTCCTGCCTGGGCTGGCTTTGAACCATGATGTTCACCCTCCTGAGTAGCTAGGATTACAGGTGTGAGCCACCAGCGCCTGGCTCTCAGGTGTTCTTTTTGAAACAGGATCTTGCTATGTTGTCCAGGCTGGCCTTGAAATCCTTTTGCCTCAGCCTCCTGAGTACTGGGATTATAGGCATGCACAAGTCCACCATGTGTCGATATTCCGATCTGTATCACTCCAATCCCTGAGAAAACACACCTGTCTCCTACAATGCATAAACCACTTCTCACTTCTAAGGAGTAGCCTCAGCTCATGGAGTACCTCCAAGTGACAATGAAGCTCATGGAGGAAGCGCAGCATCAGGCTTTCTCCTGTGAGAGAGCACTCCATGGTCTGGCTGTCGGTGGCAGTTGGGGTGCCGAACAGCAGCAACTGCCTCTCTCATTCCCTGCCTACAGCTGCTAACTCCCGCCATTCTGAATCTGTTCTTCGGGGAAAGGGGCAGTGGTCAGGCTTAATCTACTTCAGACTTGGTGGTCCCCTGCTGATGAAGTCATACGTGGGAAACTCCCTTTAACCTTCCTTGTTTCTCCATTCCCAGCATCTCTGCTTGGAAAGAAAGACTGCTTCTAATGTGGTTTGGCAATGTCTGTTAATGAAAGCACTGCTTGTGTATTTTAATTTACTTCCCCACAGTGCTTGTTGTTACAAGTTGGGTGAGCAGGAAGATGAAGCTGAGAGCAGTGCTCACCTAGAATCTAGTTTCTAATTCAGTGCTAAAGCCTTTCTTTGACATAATTTCTTTGAGACAAGAGCCATGACCCATATATGCTTCTATTTCCTCTCCCAGCCCAGTGTCTTAATACTGTGGTGCACATTTATGAATAGTTCATCTCTCACTTCCACTCTAACTTAAAGCCTTCTGCCAAACAAATACAAATAAGGCATAAAGATTTTACTTTTGCTGGACATAGCTGGCTCACACCTGTAACTAGCTAATCAGGAGGCTGAGATCTGGAGATCGTGGTTTAAGGCCAGTCTAGGCAGGAAAGTCTGTGAGACTCTTATCTCCAATTGACTACTAAAAAAAGCTGACGTAGAGCTGTGGCTTGCTCAAGTAATAAAGCTCGAGCCTTGAACAAAAAAGCTCAGAGAAGCAAGGTACTGGTGGCTCCTGTCTATAATCCTAGCTACTCAGGGGGCTGAGATCTGAGGATGGTGGTTCAAACCAGCCTGGGCAGCAAAGTCTGAGACTCTTATCTTTGATTAATCACCAGAAAACTGGAAGTGGCAGTGTGGCTCAAGTGGTAGAGCACTGCCTTGAGCAAAAGGAGCTCAGGGACCCTGCTCAAGCCCCAAGTTCAAGCCCCATGACCAAGAAAGAATAAAGCTCAGAGATAACACCCAAACCCTGAGTTCAAGCCCCAGGATCATCACCAAAAAATAAATTAAAAAAAAATAGACAAAAAGGGGCTAGGAAGGTGGCTCAGTGGTAGAGCGCTTGCCTTGCATGCCTGAGGCCCTGGGTTCCGTTCCTCAGCACCACATAAAGAAAAAAGCCGGAAGTGGCACTGTGGCTCAAGTGGTAGAGCGTTAGCCTTGAGCTGAAGAGCTGAGGGACAGCGCCCAGGCCCAGAGTTCAGGCCCCACGACCGGACCCCCCCCCCCAAAAAAAAAGACAAAAAAGAAAGATTTTACCTTTATCAAGTGGTTAAACAGCATGCTTAAAATTCTAAGGCCAGAAGCTAGGATTATGAAGATAACTGCTAACTCACATGTATTTATTTCCTACTAGCCTCCAGGAAGCACTAAGTAAATGCTGATCTATCGATGAAGTAAGCACAGATCACAGCATCTACTGAGATTACCTGGATTCTAGGGCCTTCAACTCCTCCGTCTTTGAGTCATATAACTGAATCATTTCCTGAGAATTTTCCACATTGAAATTAAGAAACTGCAGGTCACTCTGTTGTTTCACATATATCTGCCAGAGACATTGATCAATCAACACAAAATGTAATAATAAAGATCACACCATTTTTGCTTTTATTTGTCCTACTTTCACACTGAAATTAGTATAGCTGGTCCCTTACCTTAAAATTTGTGTGTGTGTGTGTGTGTGTGTGTGCTAGCACTGGAGCTTGAACTCAGATGCTAGGTGCTATCCCTTAACTGTTGCTCAAGGATGGTATTCTACCATTAAGCTAGAGCTCCACGTCTGGCTTTATAGTAATTAACTGGAGATAAGAGTCTCGTGGATTTTCCTGCCGGGGCTGGCTTCAAACCAAGATCCTCAGATCTCAGCCTCTCAAGTAGCTAGGATTACAGGCATGAGCCTGTAATTACCATAACCAAGACCCATCTAGGAGGCTAAGTAGCTGTATGTTTAACAGTAAGACTCTCTCAGCGCCAGCAAACACGCAACGGGCGTTCAGCTCCTGCTCTGCTCAACTTCTCCCTGCTGAACTATAACAGCTGGGGTCATACCTGTCTCAGATTATGCAGTTCAGAGTTGGTTCGTTCTTGCTTGGACTTTGCAATATCCAGTAACTCATCTTTCCTTTTTTCTCTCTCTACTATTGAAAAATAGGAATGATTAAGCATTTTTTAATCACCATACCGATAAACAGCGTTGTTGTTGTTGTTTTTTGCCAGTCTTGGGGTTTGAACTCTGGTCCTGGGCACTGTCCTTCAGCTCTTTAGCTCAAGGCTAGAGCTCTAGCACTTGAGCCATAGCACCACTTCCAGTTTTCTGGTCATTTATTGGAGATAAGAGTCTCACAGACTTTCCTGCCTGGACTGGCTTTGAACTGTGACCCTAAGATCTCAGCTTCCTGAGTAGCTAGAATGACAGGCATGAGCCACCAGTAGCTGTCTAAAGCATTAATTTATTTTATTATTTTTTTTTTGGTCGGTCATGGGACTTGAACTCTGGGCCTGGATGCTGGCTGCCCCTCAGCTCTTCAGCTCAAGGCAAGTGCTCTACCACTTTAGCTACAACGCCACATCCGTACTTCTAAATTTTTAAGGGTATGGTTCAATGGCAGGGCACTGCTCAGCAAGAGGCCCCAGGTTCCATCCCTTGTACTCATTAAAAAAAAAAAAAAAAGCCGGCACCAGTGGTTCACACCTGTAATCCTAGCTACTCAGGAGGCTGAGATCTGAGAATCGTGATTCAAAGCCAGCCAGGGTAGGAAAGTCTGTGAGACTTTTTTTTTTTTTGTCGGTTGTGGGGCCTAAACTCTGGGCCTGGGCGCTGCCCCTCAGCTCTTCAGCTCAAGGCTAGTGAGCCACAGCACCACTTCCGGCTTTTTCTGCTTATGTGACGCTGAGGAATTGAATCCAGTGCCTCATGCATGCAAAGTAAGCACTCTACCACTGAGCCACCTTCCCAGCCCCTCTGTGAGACTCTTATCTCGAATAAACTACTCAGAAAAAGCCGGAAGTGGCCCTGTGGCTCAAGTGGTAGAGCACTAGCCTTAAGCAAAAAGGTCAAGACAGTGCACAGGCCCAGATTCAAGCTCCAGGACCAGCAAAAAAATAAAAAAGTTTTTGAGACAATGGTATGTAATTGTCTTCAGTAGAAAGGTACTCAGAAGTAAGTTTAAGAAATTATTAAAATTAGGAAATTTTAAAATCATTTCACAAAATCATATAGTTCAGGTGAGAGAGCACTCATCTAGCAAATAGCAGCTCCTGAGCTCAAACTCCATTACTGTTCAAAAAAAAAGGAAAAACTTACTTCCTCCTCTGACCTTCCAGGCTATTCTGTTCCTAACTCCTGTAGAGTAATAAAGTCTCTGTGGGTACATGAGCCTCTCAACTATAGTGAGCACAGGACATACAAAGGCCCATACATGGACTGAACTGAACTCTATGTTTGCTTTGTCTTTTACCTAATATGTATAACTGACCTGGTAACCTTAGAAATAAGGAAATGGGTCCCTGTAATCTACTTAGTCAGG